GACTACGTGTGTTAGCCGAGTATGTGACATACATGGGTCTAGAGAGATTTACACACTTATCTGGCAAGTGTCTAAGTTCTTAGACTAAAGGAATCAAACCTGAAAATTATAAAGGATGTGATGGGGGTACAGATTACACAAATAAAATATTGCAGATGCCAACATGTGAATCGGTGTATAACTGAAATGGGAGGACATGAAAAAATACTTGTTTCTTTATGTAATACATCTGAATTGCTCTAATCCATAATAATCTCCAATCTTCCAATCTCATTGAGGAAGAATGTTGGTTATGACCTACTAAAATGATTTTGTGACCTATCTTCACCTGGCCTGCCTGCAGAACACCTGCGTTTTTCAGCAGGGTCTGGATGAGTACAATACAAGAGACTTTCTTTGTTTGCTGTAATTCCAACTCCTTAATTTTATTTTTAATTTTAATTTTAACTTTATTTTTGTGTAGAAGAATTGGATTGTAGGCCAGAGGTGCAGTGGTGGGGCTGGTGGGGGGGGCACGAGGAGTGAGAGGACTCCCCAGAGACAGAGTGGGGAGCAGAAAAGGCAGATCTACTGAAACACAGTGCTGAGGGGAGCAAGGGGTGAGACAGGAGGGGTCTCCTGTCACCTCCTTGGCCGGGATTGAACTCAGGCTGGGACTCAACCCCTAAGCCACCAGAGAGGCCCACTCCTTAATTTTAATGATGAGGGAACTGAGATTCAGTGAGGCTTAAGAGCTGTCTCTCTAAGATCACATAGCTGGTGGGTCAAATTATGATCATTGATTCTATATCCTATGACCTGTTTGTTACCCTGTGCAACCTTCCTTCTGAGCCAGCAGTCTCCCTTGTAAGAAGTAGAAAGTGCAATGAAGAACTGGGTGACAAGGAAAAATCCTTGAGAGGAGAAAAAGAATCCCTCATTCTGTCTTGCAGCTCCTTAGTGCTCCAGGCATTCTTTAAAGCAAGTGAGTTCCAGCACATGCAGGTATATGCGCTTTGATCCCCAAACCCAGCCCGTCCAAATCTCTTGTGCTACAGACACATATTTGGAACAGTGAACCTTATACCTGGTAGAACACGTGAGCCTTCTAATTTTAGAATGACTTCAGCTCCACGTGGGAAAACTCCAGACAATGGAACGGGGAAGCACTTTGCAGTTCTGAAAAGCTTTTGTTAGGTGAGATGAGCAATAAACAGATCCCTTGCTTGCTGGCTGACCCATGTTCTACCTGTTTTCCAAACAAGCAACACCTTCAAAGGCTTTTCCCTGTAATCTGCTTTGCTCTCCCTCTGTACCCCCAGTCTAAACTTGCCCTCTCAACATAGTTAAGCTCAATGTCCCTATCAAAATCTGACCACCATCTCCCCAAGCAAGCTGATAATGGTGACCTTCCCATGAATAACACCAGTGTGAATTTTCATGTTCTTTCATCACTGTCTCTGAAAAGTCTCCCAGACACTAAATTAAGCAAGCCTTCAAACACTCCCCAATTCCAGGTGGGTGTCATTAGACACAGGTTGGAGGAAGGAGCAGAAGTTCAGAGGTTTAAAGAGTCACCTAAGCATCAGATCGTGCAAGGCAGATAGCAGAGCGAAGCCGGGAGCTGGCTCCCAGGTTCCCCAGCAAGGCCCTTGCCACACCCCTTGGTCATTAGTGTGAGTCTCATGAAAATACGAGAACCAGATGGGCGGCCTGGGAACCGTGCAACATTTCGGAGGGTTAAGCAAGCAGCCACCCAAAGACTGAAATGGGTGCATTCTGTCCCTTTTAAGGGGCAGTAAGAGGTGCCTTTGAGTACAGGTCATAACTCAAGGGAGTGTGACATCTCTTCTAAGCTATAGGTGCTGCCCCCTTTATCCTGCCTCCAGCTAATGTTTCTTTTCATGCTTTACAGACTACTAACCAGATCAATTTTTTCTCTCTCCACCGCCCAGACTATTGATTTCACTCTTGTCGCAATGATTTTCTAAATCAGGCATTAGGCAGTCAGCCAAAGCTACTTATGTCACAGGCTCTTGCTTTGGGCTCACTTGTGTGGTGGGGTCCTTGAGCATAAAGATAGAGAAGGACTGTATTTTTGGATCTTGTTCTAAGAGAACGAAGTGGGTGATAGTCACACTGCCACTTCCCTGCCCTGGATGCTTGGGGCCGTCACCAGTGATGACTGTCATGTCTCCTAACTGTCTGAAGGTAGACTCATAATCCCTCACAACACAGCTTCCCCGATCATCCTTCCAACGCATCAGAATGGTCTTGTGAAAAATCTTAGTATTCCCAGTTCAAGTCCAGCAGAGGAGGAAGTTAAGGTTCAAACAGGAACCAGGTGAATAAGTTGTCCCCAACTGAAGTCAACACCCACTGGCCCACCTGGCCCACCACCCAGGAGTCCTGACCACCAGCCTAAGGCACCGTGACCTTCAATGTCCCTCCCAAGGTGGACGTCCGAGAAGCATTTACTAATGACAACAGTGCCAGCTTCCTGTGCCTCTGGATCATCCACTCTCTACAACAGGGGGTCTAAAAGAAAGGAAGACTGGAATGAAACCTCAGTAAGAAAGGCTAGGGCAACTGTCAAGTAATGAAACTGTGGAACATTTTTTTTTTCTCCAGTTGCACTAGAAAGCTCTATGGGATCTGCACCTGTTGCTCTGAGCCCACATGCAACCCTTGATTAGCACAGGGGTTTGGCAATTTCTGAATATGTGTCACTGTCCCTGCTCTCACCCCTCACATGGCCCACAGAGTATCACTTGACCAGTTACAGGGTAACACGCAACACAGAGGGACGAACACTGTCTTCTGAATGTACATAATGAGGGAGAGTGCATGTCAAGTGCTTGTTGACACTAGAGACGAAAGGAAAGATGCAACAGAAGTCAGTCACTACTACAGCAAGGACAGTCATTTCTAAATAAAGGCAACAGGGCAGCCTCCCTAGTGGTGCAGGAGTTAAAGTCTCAGCATTGTCAGGCTACTGATAGCCATGGACATCCCCGGCCAGGGAGATGACCCACATGGTGCAGCACCTCTCCTGTCTCACTGGCTGCTCTCCTCAGCAGTGTATTTCAGTAGATTCCCCTGTTCTGCTCCCCACTCTGTCACTAGTGAATCCTCTCACCCCTGCATCTCTGGCCTGTACCCCAGTTCTTGTATGCATAAATAAATAAATCTCCAAAAAAAAAAAAAGGCAACAGGTTTCCCATGTCTGCTCAAGAGTGACCAGGAAAACCTCAAAGGGCATAGGTAAAAGGCTCCCCATGGAACAGTCTCAGGCACGACACCCCCTAGGGGTTTCTTCTTCAGATGAATGGATGGGGACTGGGAGGGGGTGGACCAGAAATATTCCCTCCCTATAGGTTGTGTCAAGCTTTGCCATTATTGCACCTGTCACCTGCCGGTGGCTGAGTAGAGAACTTGACTTTTCACCTATGAGGTCTTACAGTGAGGACTATGGGGGGCTGAGGATACACTTGGAGGTGAATGCATGCTAGGAGGGGGTCTAGTCAGCTCTGCAAACAGTGAAGTCACTAAGATGTCCTCGCCAGCCCCAACACATTCACATCTGAGCACTTGGTGATGGGGGAGGTAATAAAAAAGTGAAAGAATTGCTTCATGGAGTCTCTAGTAAACACTGGACTCCAGAAGCTCTGCTGTGGAATAGACACACCCTTCTAGCCCAGCCCCAACAAAGCAAACCACGGAGGAGGAGAGGCATTTTTTTGCTGGGGCAGTGTGGACCACGTGGCCTGGACAGCTTAAGGGGCAAGTGCATCAGGACAACAGTGCCGAGGAGCAACTGTGGTGCTGCAGAAGCAGTGGGGCCCATGGGACTGGCGGCATCACCTCCTGTGTGTTAGGAGGGAAAGGTCTGGAACAGGTGAAGAGCAAAGTACCAGGGACTCTGTGCGGTTGGTTAGAAAATAACTGAATAGAAGAAACTGCCCACCCCTCACTCCACAGACCTCTCTAAAATAACCAGGGAGACAGGGCAGGGGGCCCCTGCAGAACAGATGGGCATACTCCATGCCGACGAGAGAACGGGGAACTGGCACACCCATGCTTTGCTGGAATAAAACCCAGCTCCATTCACTTGGATGGGTAATTAGTAAATCAGCAAAAAGCCAAAAAAGAATACAGCCATTCTTGCTATGGTAGAAAGAGCCCCACCCCCACTCCCCCAGAAAGGAAAAAGCTTCTAGGTATGAAGATGTAGCATCGCCACTTAAACTGGAGGCAACAGAAGAATCCAAACAGGAATGCTTCATCCAAGTACATATGTCCATCTTAATGGAACATCATGACATTTCATTTTATTTAATGCTATTTTTGGAACATCATGACATTTTCAAAGGATACATTTCTAGTCTTTCCAGCAACATGGAAAAATGCACAACCCAAAACTTGACTTTAAAAAACAGGAAGCAAAGTTAATTTCCTCACTGTGACTACTTGTGTGAGAATATGGGTGTGCAGAGACAACACCTGGGAAGGAGGCATCGCATCGGGGCCCCGCTTGGTCAGAGCAAGGCCGCAAGTGTGTGGCCTCTGACGTTTCCCCAACTTTCTAATCTTTTCATCTAGGCTCTTTAAAATGAAATCAGGAAAATCTGACTACGAATGTTAAGATCATTGATAACTAAGCAAAGACACCAGACAAAAGCAGACAAGAGCTCAGGTGGCCGGCTTCTTTAGATGGGTTATCACATGAGCTAAATATAGGGATGGTCCCCAGCTCACAGGTCCTGCCGACTGCTCTAGACGCTTCCCAGCAACCTCGAACAGCAGGGGCCGGGGGTAGGAGAGGGCTCTGGGGAGGGGGGGAAACAGCCCTGCCCAGGTGTGTTCCCAGAAGCACAGACAGCCTCAGCCCCTGAGACCTCAGAGCTGGGGGTAGCAGGTCCAGTGGGCTCCACAGCTGGGTCTCGCTCAGACTCCATGACCCAGCCAGGCTCTGCTCCCTCCCCGCACACCACATGGCATCCCGCAGGGCACACACTCACCGCTCAGGGCCGAGGTGGTGTTCTCCAGGGCCTGGCACACAGCCAACAAGATACCTGTTCCGGGAAGAAGAACGAAAAGATAAGAGTCGGCTCAGCAAACGACTTCCTTGGGATTTGAGGCTCAGCCCCCAGAAAGCTACAGAAGTTTTGACAAAGCAGCCTAAGGCAGGTCTAGTTACAGGATTTGTGGGGTGCAGGGCAAAATGGAAGAGAGGGACACCTGTTCAAAGGTGGGAAAAAAGTGCCATGAAATGTCCAAAGCTTTTTCCTGCTCTCTACAGTCTCTTTTACCACTTGCCATGAGGTTTTTGTCTTTTTCAACACCTTATCAATACAGTTTTTGAGGTAAAATACACACAACACAAAATTTGCTATTTTTAGTCACTTTTTTTTTAAAAAAAAGAGATATTCAGGTTTTTTTCTTTTTTAAGATTTATTTATTTGTGCATACAGAACTGGGGTACAGGCCAAAGGTGCAGGAGCGGTGAGAGGATTCACCAGAGACAGAGTGGGGAGCA